TGAGCCCAGCCAGACACACAGAAGATCAGGAGAAATGAAAGGAGACAAAATTCTAGGACCTGATATAAAGTTACCCTCAAAGTAGAAGAAACAGGGCTGAGGCGACTCAGGAACACAGAAAATTCAGAGAAGAGAGAAGAAAAAGATTGAAGGAAGAAGTTCCGAACAGCTGCAAAGCTCCAGCTGTCCCAGGCTTTGTCCCTGGTGATGACTCCTGGATGCTGGTCCCAGCTCTGGCACTCGGGTGGTGCCTTCAGGCTCTGGTCCTGCCTCGGCAGCACCCAGTCAGGCTACTGGCTGGACTCCTTCAGCCAGTTGGCCCTCCAGCTACACCAAGACCCGTGCACGCCCATAAACCTGTGGCTCCCTGTCGGTCTTGGAGCTTAGGATGTTGACATCTCCACCTAGGAACATCTTTCCCCTGAAGCCCAGTGATCCCAAGGCTTCTCTGTCCCGACTCTCCCCAAATGACTGCACCATCCAAGCCACCTGGCCGCCCCGGGCAGGGCCTGCTCAGTCTCTCAGTATGTCTGTAGCATCCGTTCTCACCAAGCCTCTCTGCTCGCTGGACTGTGAAGCCTCAAGGTAGATGTCTTATTTTCAAGATCCCTGGGGCCTGGCGTGCAGGAGGCCCTCGGTCACTAGGGTGGTACTCTTGGTGTCTGAGGATAGACTGGGCTGGCCTTGCTTGCTCAGACGGCTTGCTGAAGCTCGGCACTGGCTCGCAGAAGACCCTCACCAGGCTCTCTGCACCTGTACGCCCGCCATGGCTCGGATTGTTGAATCTGGATAGTTGGCACCCCAAGGCTGTGTCCCAGTAGTACACTGTGTCCTTTTGCTTTTCTGACCCAGGGCTTGATGCTCTGAACAAACCAGCTCACCTATCCCAGGTTCTGGAGGTGGAACCCTCCACCTTCCTCTCAATGGAGCCTGCATTTTTGAAGAGAGGAAGTGGGGACCCAGAAACTCACCCAGGACCGTCATCTGAAGAGCAAAGACCAAACCCTAAGACTCCGGCGGTGGTTCCTAAACCCTTGGCTCATCAGCACCATGTAGGGGAGAGAAACCAGGCTGATCCCAGACTCCAGCCCTGGGAGACTGGGACCCAGCTCCTCAGATGATACTCATGCCTCCTGGCCAGACAAGTGTGTAAGCAGCTTTGCTGGAGATGTGATTCTATCCCATGGCCCTTTGAAGGGGCCCGCAGGGCATTCTGTCTCCTTGGCCGCCTTGGCACACTCCTAGGATGCCACGCCTTCCCAACCTCACAGGAGAGGCTCTCCACTCAACTTATGAGTCAAGGTGCATATGGGGGGCGAGGGGCACCTGAGGGGACATAGGCCATGCCATCCTCACCCCATCCTCAGCAGCAGGACATCATGCAGGGCCACCTGCCCCTCCCACATGGACTCGCTGAAAAGGCGCCTGAGTTTACTGGGAAAAACCTGGTCTCAGGAGGGCTGGGCCCCAGGAGTCATGGTTGCCCTCCCCCAGGCACCCCCACACAGAAAACAGTATCTGCAAGTTTGGGGGAGAGAAGGAGGCATGGCTGGGGTGGCAGAGCATCATCGCCTCTCCTCCTCTGACTTCCTTCCTTCTTCCTCCTGGGGATCCCGGTTCATTAACAAGCTGCTGCCTGAGTCTCCAGGGCCCAAGCCAGCCACCTATGATGTGAGTCACAAAGCCTCCCACATTGCGCTGGGATTCCTTCCCAGCTAATGGTGGCTCAGGGGCCAGACTTCCCACTCATCCCTCCCACCGAAGCAGACAGAAGGGTGGAGCGGAGCCCGCCTTCTCCACTAACAATGACGACCAATAATAACAGCAACCGCCTCTGACACTGAAGGCTCCCACCCCAGCTTACAGGTGAGGACACAAGTGAACGACGACTCTTCCTAGGTCACAGAAGTGCGGTGGGGCAGAGGAGCCGACAAAGTCTCTCCTTGACCAAACCCTAGCCAGGCTTCTCTGAGCTCTGTTTTTTCAACTAGGCCTCATCCCTGGGCATGTCTGAGAGGCTGATTTTAGTAAGGATTCTGCTAAGTCAGTTTAGCCAGAATCCCCCATCCAGAATTTCCCTTGACAACTGATCAAATTCCTCATCCCCCACTGCACCCAGGTGATGTCTGATCCCCGGGCCCGCCTTTGGCAAGAATCCCATTAGGTCTGTTCAGCCAGAACCACCCCCTCTGATCCCTGAGGTTTCCTCTGACTTCTCTCCACTGTCAGCACCTCACCCTGTTTCTTGGCTAGAAATCCCCACTTTTCCTTGTCGTACTCCGAGTTGAGCCCCATATGTCTTCCCTGTTGCAAAATCCTACTGCCGCGCTGCCTACACAAGTCTCGACAGTCCTTGGGTCTGGGGGTGGGAACAGGAAATGACTGTCAATGGGAATGAGGAAATCATTTTGGGGTGATGGGAATATTCTAAAACTGGATTGTTGGTGACAAATAAATCTATATTTATAAAAAAGCCTGCCTTGATGTTTCAACAAGTGTCATGAATAACTTTTTTTTTGTTTGTTTTAAACAGAGCCCACATCCTCTACCTCCCTCCCATCTCATGTCTTGGTCCTTGGAGAGCTCTCGCCAAGGAACATTTCTCAGAGCAAAATGGACAGAGAAACACAGGCTGGGAGCAGGTAGAAAGGAGCAAAGAACAACCAGAGACTTGGGGAGATGCCTCTTGCCGGCCCCCCACAACCTCACTGCTCTCTTCTTCCCCAGGACAGGGTGAAGCACGCACTTGGCTCGTCCAGACTGTCGGAAAGCACAGGTTGTGCCTAAAGAAATATTTTGTTTATATCCAGTAGGTTGTGGCAAAGGGTTTCCAAAGAGATCTTGATTCAATAAGAGGAAGGAGAGTATGGGATCTTTTCTCTTTTCCACTGAGACCCCCCCGGTGACCCAGCGACAATGCTTGGAGGCCCTGGTTCAAATCCCACCATCCCCAGGACTCTAGTGATGGAGAATTCGAATGATTTGAGTCAAAGGTCAGTGGAATCTGAGTTGAAAAAAGGAGCCGGGCACCCAGCCTGTTGACATCCTTCGCTTGCCATGCGGTTCTGCAAGATGTAGGTCTGGGTCTGGGTGTGGGTGGGGTGCCCAAGCTGGGGGCAGATGCCAACATGGAGAGGGAGGCGGGAGGGGGAGCAAAGGGAGTGCGGTTGTCGTTGAGTAGCAGGGCAGAGGTTGAAGACTGAAAGGGACAAGCTATGACCGTCACTCGGTAGGTGTCAAAACACACAGGTTCTCTAAGGAGCCCAGCACCAACCAGAATGCTCACGGAAGAGCAAAATCTGGAAATTGCCTCAGTGTCTGTCAAGAGCACACAAGTCCATCCATTGGTTGACTCACTCCACGGGATTCCCCATAAAGCCAAGACGGTGGACGAGAGCTATGTGGAAATACAGGGCTGGTCTCAGCGCACATGAGTTGTGACGCAGGAAGTATCAGCATCACGCATGCGAGCCGCCCCCACACAACGATCCGTCTGTCAGGGTGGGACCCACACCAAGCTCCCATGGGAAGGGGGGCCCCAGTGGAGGGCGGGACCTGGCTGGTCACAGATCCCTGATCAGAAGCCCAGAAGTGGGATGGCTGACAAACACTGCCTTGCATTTCTGTTTCTTCAACCCGGAAGCCCTCCTCTACCAAGACCCGAAGAATAGCCTGATGGAAAATGGGGCTGACAGGGAACAAGGAGGAACCATCCCCTTCTCAGCCAAGATCCAAGCCACAGGCAGGTCTCAGGTCCAGGACATCCACTGAGCAGCTGTGGGCCAGGAGCTGGCCTTGGTAGACCACCTCCACCTGACAGAGGAGCTGAGAGTCCTGTGCTGGGCAAGGCTGATCCACTGTTCAACACACACCCCAAACCTTCGTCAATTCACTGGCGCATCACCTCAGATGGATCTTCCCAACCACCTTGGGCTACTCCCACCTTCGGAGAGCCCAGTCCCAGATCCTGTCTGAGGGTTACCTAGGAGCTTGTGGGAGGGTGGTGGGGGCAAGAACAGGGTGGTCAGAGGAGCACTTCTTCGTTTAGATCTGGTCTCATGGTATAGGGGGTTCCTGGTGACCCTGGGTCAGAGTTCCCTAATAAGCTTCTAAGTGGGAAAACAGACAGGTTCATTTCCCAAGAACCTGGGGAACCAGAGCAACCGCAAAATGAAGACTTGCTGGTCTGAATAATGAGTATGTGGGCTCACACCAGACGACAAATTACTCAGGAACAAATCACCCTCTCTCTCTGTCATTCTTGCTGCTCAGAATTTCACCACAGGATTTTTACTTCCTGCCCTTAGGGATGGGAGATGGGGCTTCTTGGAGAGCCCTGTCAGTCCCACTAGCACCTGGAATGCCCAACCCACTTTCGCTGGAGGCCTCATCCCAGGAACTGAGGGTACAAAGGGGAGCAGGGAGCAGTCCGTGCCCAGCTCCAGGGAAGGGTGGGAGGAACTGCTTAGCTGGGTCTGGTAAGATGCCCTGTTAGAAAAGCTGAAACCAGGGTTTTCTCCCATGGGAAGCAGAACTGTGCAGGTGAGGCCACAAGAAACAAAGCGGGTGGCATAGCTCCTGTCTGCCGAGAAGTGGGAAAGCTGGTGGTGTGTTTCCAGGGGCTGGGTAAACTTCTGAAGGACTGTGGGCCAGATGGTTTTCCCTGAGGACTCGGGACCCCTTGCTGGTCGTATATGGGCACTTATTCTTGGCCAACCAGGGGGCTTTCCACCAACTCTTGGGGGGACCTCTGCCTGCATTGCACCCTCTGAAACCTGGGTGCAGAAGGCAGAGAGGGGGCGCCAAATGGGTAGACTGAGACTTCTGTGCTTTTCCCAGAAGAGCTGGCCTCATAACTGCCCACCGCAACACACAGCACCAGCTAACTGTTTGCCTTGAGGCACTGAGGCCCCAGCTGGAAAAACAAGTTTCACTGGATTTCCTTTGGGGACAAGATGGGGCATAACAGACACTCAGACAGACAGATGGGGCGGCCTCACCTGGACCTGGCCCTTTCCCATGATCCTGTCTGTGTTCTCGCCGTCTTCCTTGGTGATCTTCGTTTTGTTGTAACACTTTTCGTAGCACAGAATCCTCAAGGTCTGGGAGCCTTCCAGCTCAATCTCAAACTCCTACAGCCCCCCAAAAGAAGGAAAGTCCCGCGTTAACAGACAGGTCCAAGCGTGTGGCAGTCAGGGCTACAGGCTGAAGGGGTCCTCTGAACCGTGGCTCCTCAAACAGCTTCCTCACTGCCCCAATGGGCCCAGGGCTTGAGACGCTCCTTACTTCAATCCCTCCTGAGAGCCTGCATCCCTGTGAGCATCGCATTGTGACCCAGTCTTGATGCTTATAGATAGAAGCTCTGAGTGACTCTCAGACCTAATCCAAACTCTGTAACCCAGCATCTCAGAGGGCGATCCATCCCCATGGTGTCTGCATCAGCTCAGGGGAGCTGGTTACAAATGCAGACATTCTATGGACTTGGGGTGATAATGAGTGTCAACATAGGTTCACTGATTATAACAGATGTCCCACCTTGGTGCGTGGATAGTGTGGGAGGCTGCGCACGTTGGCGGGGTGTATAATGGGAAATCTCTGTCTTTTCTGCTCAGTTTTGTCATGGAACTAAAGATGCTCTGAAAAGTAAAGTCTGTCTGAAAGGGAATACAAATAAATCCAGGTTGTGGTAGAGGAGAGAGAGGGACTTAAGAGGAAAGAATTGCTCCCGTGGGCTTTCAAGTTGTCTGTTGGGGGTGTGTGTGGTGTTAACTGCCTCCTCCATCATCCCACATACCTTCAGTAAATTCTGCATTTCACATCAATGCTTTTGTGGGCATGAGTTCTTTTTTTTTTTTTTTTTTAAGATTTTTATTGGGGAATTGGGGGGATGGGAACAGTGCTGGGGAATTAGGGGAAGGGGAACAGACAAGTTGCTGTCCTTTTGTTCTTCAATATAGTTGTGGAGGACATTGCTTCACTGGCCCAAGTTGGCACCATCATTGTGCTCTTCCAGGGTGAGGCAGATCAGTCGCCAGCTTCTGGACGGCTGCTCACTGCGGCCGCTGGCCGCTCACGCTGGCTGCTGGCTACACACGGTAACCCATGGCAACCCACTGCCACAGGGGCTGCAGCCCACGCCGTCGCCGGCGACTCATGGCAGCTCAGCTCCAGGTTGAGCTGTTGTTCAGCATCTTAGCTGTGGAGGGCAGTGTCACTGGCCCTCATATGTGGGATCCGAACCGGGGCCCTCTGGCATCCCAAGCCAGTTCTTAACCAACGTGCCACTCGGCCGGCCCGGGCATGAGTTCTTGATGGGGAAGTGGAGAAAGGTGAAGGGAGAAAAACCAAAGCAGGTACTTCTGAGCCTAAATGGGGGTGGGGAGAGTATGTGTGCCAGGAGCACGTACGGCCCCTGGAGAATGTGTAGGCACAGCCAGGGCGGCTGCTTGGTGACCTGCTGCTGGGTCCCTCGAGCCCCTACTGCTGGCTTGCACCTGAACCCTCCTCATGGTGTCTAGAACGCCTACCTTGTTGCCTATCAGGTCACGGCCCTCTCGCCGTTTGCAAAGCTTTCTTTGATGAATCCACCTGGCTCTGATCCCCACCTCATCACAGCAGCCACACAGGCCTTTCGGCAGGAATGCCCAGAGCTATAATGACCAGGTAATTCTATCGGCTCCTTGTACCCCAGTCCTAATGAGGCAGCAAGTCTAATGATCAGAGTACTGGGTGCTGAGAAATGAGACCTGGGTTCCAGCCCCACCACCCCACTATCTACTTGACCCATCAGGGACCAGGCAGCCTAGTGGGTCTTAGCTTCCTCCTCTGCAGGGGAGCAGGTGGGTGGGTGGCAGTTCTCTGTAACCCGGCTGCCTCTGCCACATCCTCAAGCATGAGGCCCTGAGGGCTGCAGCTGCTCCGGAAGCCCAGACATGGCATCTCTCGTGGATCTGGGATTTCATCAAGACTGGCAGCTCTGCCATCATCCTTTACTCCCAAAGGCTCAAGGTAAGCCAGCTGGATAAGCAGGTTACACAACAGCTCTCCATAGAGGAGGAAAACAGAGCAGCAACCCACATATCCAGTACCAGGGACAAGCAAAAAGGACAGACCCTTCCTCCCAGGTCCCTATCCCAGCCCCCAAGGCAGAGCCCCAGGCTTCCGGAAACCAAGAGGGTCACAGAGAGCTCATTCCAACTTCTGAGGAAAAAACGCTATGGAAACTTACCAGCTAAACACTAAGCAGTAACAAAGGCGGCACAAAAGGCCCTTTTAAGTTCTTTTTCCAAACACTTCTCCAGCAAAACAGGTCATTTCTTTGTGATGGGGGAGGGACGGTAACGTTCTCAGGAACCCTGAGATAACATCTCTTGGATGAGTCACCCTCTCCCCCCAAGAGATTCCCGGAATGCTGGCTGCTTTGCCAGCCAGCTGGGGAAGCCGTTGGGGAGCCCTTGGGGGTTCAGACTCTGAGGACAATATCCGCATCTAAGATTTGCAGGAAGCAGCACCTCACCTCATTCCAGTTGGGCTCAGCTGTGTCCCTATAGACTCGTGTCTTGGCTTTATTCACAAAATACCCAAAGGAGTCCACTTCCAGGGTGCAGTACAGATCTGTGGGAGGGCGACAGGAGAGGGTGAGCGCACATCCCATACTACCCGCATTTTCTATACGTGCTATTTTTGAAATCAGAAAAAATGGTCTTGATTTTCTTTTTTTAAATACAACACGGCCAGACCAGCCCTCACTAGATGACTCTGCCCTGCGGATGCAGCTGGGAACTGGCACCTCTCATAACATTCGCTCACCTGGTCACTCAGCAAACCTTGACTAAAGCCCCTAGGTGAACAGGGCCCCACAGCTGGTGGGCGGGGCACACTGGACATCACCACCAGGGGACTTGGAGCTGGTGGAAGCGCCTATGACCTGTGCAGACCTTGCTATGGGTTTTACCAGGTAAACTGGGGCAAAGGCGCTGCAGGCCAATGCTGGGCATTGAAAGCAGTGAGAAGAGAGTCGTGGGGTGCAGGAGGTGTGAGGCCTAGTGGTGCGGACCAGGGAGAAGGCCCCTGCCGAGGGCTGGACAAAGGGCATGGCAAGTGGCCAGAGATGATAAAGGAACTGCAAGGAGGGAGAATGGCAGCTCACTGATATGACCAGTGAACAGGATGACAGTTTCTGGCCTGGCTAAGCAGTGAGGGGTGGCGCCTCTCACTGGGGCAGGACATCAAATAAGAATGAGTTTGGAGGCCACAGTCACAGGTTTAGTCTGGGGTCATGGAGTTTAGAATATGGGACATTGAGGAGATAGATGGCAAGGTGATAGAGGGAGGACAGAAGTGGGAATGGGAAGGCAGTTGTGGGCGTCATCTATGTTGATGGAAGGGCCCTCGAGGGTTGGAAGAATGGATAAGTGCAGTGAAGGAGGAAGGCCCAATGGAACCCAAAAAAACACCAGTATTTAGGGGACAGCCCGAGTGAGAGAGAGAGAGAGAGAGAGAGAGAGAGAGAGAGAGAGAGAGAGAGAGAAAGGCAGGCCCAGGGAAACAATTATGTATGCTACAGCTTTACAGAGGTATGATTTGCATACTATACAATCCACCCATTTTAAGTATATGGTTTGAGGATTTTTTTTTTTTTAAAGATTTTTATTGGGGAATTGGGGAGGGGAGCATTGTGTTTTGCCAGGACCCCTCAGATCCAAGTCAAGTTGTTACCCTTCAATCTTAGCTGGGGAGGGTGCAAGCTTAGCTCTAAGTCCAGTCGCCGTTTTCAATCTAGTTGTGGCGGGGGGCGCGTAGTCCACCATCCCATGCGGGAATCAAACCAGAAATCTTGTTGCACACTGAGCCACCCGGTTGCCCGTCAGCAGCTCACGGCTGCTCAGCTCAGGTGCCATGTTCAATCTTAGTTGCGGGGGGAGAGGGGCACAGCCCACCATCCCATACAGTTGTCGAACCCGGCAACCTGGCTGCTAAGAGCACACGCTCTCACCAGCTCAGCGCCAGCTCAGCTCGGGCGCAGCTCATTGGCCCATGTGGGAATCGAACCGGTGACCCTGTTCCTCAGAGCTCGCACTCTTAACCGACTGAGCCACTCAGCCGGCCCCATAATTATTATTATTTTTTTTTAGGTTTCTGAATGTTGTTGCCTGTGTCAGTTCCTTCCTTTTTATTGCTGAGCAGTATTCCACGGCATGGACTAACGATGTTTTATCATTCATGCCCAAGTCTTTCTGTGGACATATTTTCATTTTTCTAGAGAAAATACTACAGTGGGGTTGTTGGGTCATGTTGAACTTTTTAAGAAGCCGTAAAACTGTTTTCCAGAGTGGCTGAACCATTTTACTCCCCACCAGCAGTGTCTGAGGGTTCCAATTTCTCCCCATCCCTGCCAACACTATCTTTTTGATTATCACTCTCTGAGTGGGTATGAGGTGGTAGCTCACTATGGCTTTAATTTACATTTCCCTATGACAATGAGCATTTTTTCATGTGCTTATTAGCTATTTGTATTTCTTTGGTGAAGTGTCTACCCAAATCTTTTGCTCATTTTTTTGTTTTATTGGGTTGTCTCTTTAGTATTGAGTTGTAAGAGTTCTCTGTATATTCTGGATACTAGTCCCTTATCTCATATATATATGGTTTTAAACATCTTCTATTTTGTGGCTTGTGGATTTCTTGTTTTGCAGCAACAGTGGGAAAGTTCGGCAGAACAGTGCCTGCTCTATGTCCTCCCACGAGGGACACTGAGAGCTTGTGTGGAGGTGCCGTGCTGAAAGGTGCAATGTGTGATGTCCCTTGAACGAAATGTGACCAGACCTCACGGCTCTCATAGCTCCAGGAGTTGGGAGAGAACGCCCACCGCCTTGGAGGGGAAGGAGGAAAAGGGTATCCACTCAGCTTATCAGAACAGCCAAATCTTGCTGATTAGGACCAAGGTCCTCCTGTCTGTCGGCAGCAAACTCAGGTCCCTGCAATTACAAGACTGCCTGCAGGGGTCAGCTCACCAGCAGGACCTGAGACAGGCATGGGAAAGGGCAGGAACACTCCAGGAAAACAACTCCACACCCCGTGGGAGTCAGCCAGCACCGGCACCTCAGCGGTCAGGGGTCAAAGATGCCTGATGGTAATTTGAGCCACTTCCCTGGTTCCCCACACCCTCTGGCTCAGTGCCCTGCGGCCTTCCTCCACACATCAGCCACTTACTTGAACTCTGCTTAAAGCCGGTGGCGGAGTGGACAATGACATTCAGGAACCCATAGAGCCCGGAAGATTCATCATCTGTACAAGAGACCAAAAGAGGTAAGTGTCTGTCCTCCTGACAGAGGGAGGCAGGTGACAGGCTCTGCTTCACAATCAATCCTCAAGGAGGCACCCTGTGGCAGCCATTTGCCCAAGCACAGGGCAAGGCGATGTCGGACCAGAGACATAGCCTCCGTGGCCTCTGTCTTGCGGACCTTAGAATCTGTGTATTCACAATACAGGCAGACAGTGAACAAGATGAAACGTAATAAGGACAGGAGACGGGTCAGGGTAGCGTGTGACATGGATCGGGTGTGCGTGCGTGCATGTGCACATGCACATATCTGTGTGTGTGACTGAGTGTACATGAGTGGATGAGACAGTGAATGCAAAACGCAGCACAACCAAAGGTGTGGCAGGAAGTTGCTGGCAGGGGAGGTGAGTGGGACTAGCCCTAGAGCACAAGGGGTCTGACGAGTGTCTCGGGACGAGGGACAAAGATTATCAGTCTCTTCAACTACCCAGTGGCGGCTGCCTGGGGAGAGACTGCCCCTAACCTGCCCCGTCCACGTCTGGGAAAGGCCAGCGGCTCTAAGCAGCACACACATTCCTTTGGGATGGAAATCCATGGTCCCAAGGACAGGCTGACAGCAGAAAGGGCTGGTGGTCCTCAGGAAGACGGCTCACCTTCTTTGTTGATGGTCAGCGGGATGCTGTGGACAGTCTGAAGTTTGACACATGAGTTGGTCAGCATCTGCAGCTCCACAGACGTCAGGGAGAAGCTTTTGAAACCTGAAAGGGTAGATACAGCACAGTCTGCACAGGTCCTCTGACCTTCCATGACATCCAGAAGCACTCTCTGACGTCCCCCTCACTGAGCCCTCAGCACACCCTGGCGAGGGGGCACAACAAGAGAGGGCAATATGCTCCCAGGGGAGTAGCTGGTAAGTGGCAGAGTGGGGCGGGGCCCTGGAGAACCCAGAGGGCAGGAGGAATCTTAGCATTCACCCTTACAGAGAAGCTGGCCTGCTACCTCAGCACAGCCACAAGGCATTTCTGAGAAAGGGACCTGCAGTGCCTTCCTGTGGGGTCTCTCCAGACAGACACCTGACACAGCTCTTTTATTCTGCTAATGCAGGCCCCTCTCTCTCCATCAGGTAAGGAAAAGGGGTTTGCTTCTGGTATAACGCTGAACAGGGAACAGACGCTGCCATGCTGCAAATGGTTTGGATCCCCGGTTATAAGAGTAAACCCTGGGACACAGGCATGCATGGCGGGGCTGCAGGCACTGGCCATCAGAGCTGCCAGGAGCGCCCCATCCCCGGATGTAAGGGTACCAGGAGAGTGGCTCGGCACGGGCACAAGTGACAAGCTTAGGGGAACAGGAGCTCGGGATGAAAGCTCAGGAAAGGGCAGAGGCGTGCAGAGCGCCCCGCCCAGTGTCTGTGTACAGTAGGTTAACCAAGGTGGCCCATGGCTGCGGGAGGGCCAGGCCACCTGGGATATGGCTCATCCTGGTCCCCAAGGGACAATGGCACACAAGGCACACCTGGGAGCCTCTCAGCAAGGAGGACTCAGAAATCCCAAACCATACAACTGGGTGGGGGAAGGAGGGAAACCTCCACACAGCTGTGGCCCCGGGATAAGAGCGCGTCTGCCTTCCCACCCTGAAGGCTGCCGGGCAGGACTAAGGGCAGATCTGAGCAGAGGAGAAGGAAAAACTGCTAATGGGAGGGAAGTGCCCAGAGAAGGGGCCATCCCAGAGGGGGGTGAGTACCCTGTCCTAAGAATGGTCAAGTGCTGGCCGCTTGGAAAGGGGAGTGGGGCCAGCGCAGTGTGGCCCCTTTGGCATCAGTCGCTGAGGTGTAGGGACGGCCTTGGGGCCAAGGCTAGGATGAGGGGAATGGGTGAGGCCAAGGAGATGAGGTGGTGGTTGGGTGTGGGGAAGGCAGCAGGGGTGCAGGGAGCCCCAAGGGGTCGGCAGGGATCAGGGTAGGGAGGTCCAGGAGGCAGGAGGAGAATTCAGGGAAGGCCTGGGAGAGGGAAGAAGTCAGAGGATAGCTGGGGGTGGGGTACACAGAGGATTGGGGGAGGCTCAGGACGGAGGGCAGGGGGCCCTGTCAGGGGAGCTTCTCTCCAACGTACTTTCTAAGTTAGAGCTCCACCTAATATCTCACTTGAATAAAAGAGTTCTTTCTGCCCAGGGGAAAAAAAGGTTTCAAACCATAAGACGAGATGAACATCCAGCCCTGATGTTCACAAGCACACACCCTCCTGGTGCAGAGGCCACTTACATTTCTTCTGCTGCTCCCGGACAGTCTCCCTCCACTCAGCGCGCTCGTAGTCGGATGATATCAGGAATGTGTAACTCTGAGAGGCAGGAAAGAGGACTCACCCCAGTTATCCCCGTCCCAGCTAAAGCACTGTCCCCTAACGCTGTCTCCGTGGAGTCCTGTAGCGCACCCCTCCAAGGCACGAGCACATCTGTGCCTGTGGCTGTCCGGAGCCTGGTGGCCATGTGCACTCACAGCACGGCTCGTCACTTTCAGCACTCTCGGCCCTTCCTGCCAGCCGGGGTTTGGGCCACAGCTCCTGTGACCTGTGTAGGCCCACCTGTAGCACCAGTCTCCTTCCAGGACTACCTGGGTCAGGGCATGACATGTCACAGCTCAGGGCCACAGAGGAGGTTACCAGGTGCAAACCTGCAGAGGTGAGGGCTGACCACCACCTGTGTCCACCACAGCCCTGAGCCGTGACCCAGAGACAAGGCTTCCAAAGAGCCCAGCTGCATGCTGACAGGTGTGTGTGTGATGCCCATCACATATGTGTGGGAGAGGCCCAGGCTACAGATGGTGCCAGGAGCCAGGCTCAGGAGAGAGGGTGCTTCTTTGACCCAAAGGTCTCCGGACAGTGCCCCCCCCCCCACCAAGGGCCAGGTCTGCACAAGTGTGCAAGTCCCCCACCCTATTTAGACTCCTGGGAGACCGCCCCTCCCAGCTATGGGGCTGAGCCAGCTGCCAGTCAACTTGGAGGCTATGGCCCCAAACACTAGTCAGAGGGACCTATGTGCTTGTGTGTACCACGAGGGACAAGCCTCTCTTGGGGTTAGAAGGCTCTCCAGGGGAAAAAGGGTGCTGCTGTAAAGGCCACACCGGAGCCAGAGACCACAGCTGCCACAAGGCTGGGTGGGCAGGTCTGTCTGGGGATGCAAAGCGGGGCCTGGCCAGCAGAGCAAGACTGTGGGGGCCACTGACCTTGCCGTTGCGGTTGTGCACCCGGAAAGCCATGCTGGGGGACATGAGCAGGAGCAGTGATTCCTGCTCCGAAAGCTTCTTCTTCAGCCTCTCGATGGCCTTGCTGCCCTTGTTTGCTCTCTGTGGGGAGAGGCTGCACGGTCATATTTACATCCTGCGGGCCAGTGCTACCTGTTCCCACTTGGAACCACTGCCCCCAATGCTCGGTCCGCAGAAGACAGGAGCCCCACCTGGCAGCCCAGCATGGCACAGGGCCTTGGTCAGCTGCTGCTGGCCACAGGGTCAAGGCCCAGCATGGGCTGACGGATGTGCTCAGTCAACCTTTTGTGAAGGAATGAAGTCCTTCCTCTCATGAGGGCAGAGAAATGAGATCTTTATAAACCGCCCTTCTTTCAATTTCTCCAAATTTTGACAATCCCAAGGGGCCACTGTGACCCCAAGGGCCCCTCCACCTTCCAGTTCCCCCTCATTTCAGCCTCAGGACCCCTGGGAGTGTTTGTGAGGGTCCTGATGAAGGGCCAGATACATCCCCAGGACCTGGTTGGGAAAACCCTGCCTGCCCTGGGCTGTGTGCCTCCCCCTTGAAGCCCCTCCATCCCGGGGAGGAGACCGTGCCACCTGCCACTAGACAAGAGGCACAATGTGGACGAGTGCAGCGGTGGCAGTGTGCAGGGCCCAGAGCCCCAAGGACCCAGCCCTGGCTTCCCCTCTGCCTCAGAACACTGTTCCGGAGGCCACAGGCCCATCTGGACTAATAAACTACCCAGTGCTCGCGCTGCTCTCCCTGTGCTTTCCTCAATCTGCTGGTGCAGCAGGCCGGCAGGTGGGTGAGGCGTGAGGAGGACCCCTGTCCTGTTGAGCCCACCTCAGCCAGTGTCCCTAGACCAAGGCCCAACTTTCTAGGGACTCATCTTGCTTATGGCCACCACATGGCACCTGCCGTGACCTGGGCTGAATCTACACGTGAGGGGCTCATTTTAGAACACCTTTCCTAAAGTCTTCTAAACCTCTCCAGAAACAACCAGGGACTTGCCTGGGGCAGTTCAGGACACCTTGGAGGGGCCACACCCCTGACCTGGCACGCTCTCCCTTTCATAGCAGCTGAGTACCTCTCCCACCCCAGGTCCTGGACAGCTTCTAGCCTGACAAGGATGACCAGAAGGTCCCGAGACCAGAATGGGGTCCGACGCCAGCAGAGCTCGCCCACTGGCCTGTGTGCGAGGGGCGGCTGCCCACTCCAGCTACAGAGCCCAGCCTCCTCCCTCTCCCACCTTCTCTCTCTGGATGTCACTCTTGATCTGGGAGATCTTCATCTTCATGGCATCCAGCTCCTCATCGAGCACCAGGGGGATGTTGGGTGCTGCCTCGGACTCATCCACCGTCTGGAAGCTGAGATCCGTGAGCGGGATGTACCATTTGCAGTCATACTGCTGGGTTTTGCTGGGGGAGGGGAGGAGGAGGAGCACGTTAACATGCTGACCATCTTTCTCTGCTAATATCACTGCTTTCAAAAGCTGGAGAACCCTACATTTGTGGCCATGCAGAGTCTACCCAACCTGAAAACCTAGCGTGTGGTCCATGCAACAGGCGTGCATAAGGCCACCAGCAGACACTGATGACCCAGCCTCGGTGATTCCTGGGAATGGGCACTCCACACGCCACGACCCAGATCCCGGAGGTCTGACAAGCCCTGATCCACCTTATCCTCGCTGATGGTGGCAGCTCACAGGCTCTGCTATGTGGGAGCACGTTAAGTCCACCCAACGACAGTCAGGGTAGGACTGCAGATGCCCCCAGAGCTATAGCATTCGAGGAGCTACGGATCTATTCAGTGTAATCCCCTGCCTTGATAGATGGGGAAACTGAGGCTCTCTTCCGAGTTGACTGACTAAATCCACTTAGCACAACAATGGCAGAATGAAGGGAAGAGCCCAGTTCTGGTCTTTCGCAACATGACCTTCCTTCTTTCATTCCAGCCCGTGCAACCTGGATGGTCTGATCCCTAGGGAGGTTGCGGGGAGGTCTGTAGGCCTATGCTGAAGATAACTCAGAAGCTAACACCAGGTTTGGGGAGACAAAATGCAGCAATCATCTAGCAATGCCTGCCAAGGGCAGGGTAGGGGTAGCCACCCCTCTACCACCATCTGCCAGCCTGCACCATGGCCTGTAGCCCCCCTGACCTGTCACTCACTCTTTCCGGGTCCTCCATGACAGTCTTCCAATAGTACATGAAGTCATAGTTAGGTTCCCCTTTCACTGAAAGAGTCAACAGCCCAGTCACTGACCCTAACCCAGAACGTCTCCAGATTGTTAAGAATGACCTTTCACCCTGAGCCTGGCATCACATCCAGTTGGAAACAGAATGTACCTTAAAGAGAACGCCTGGCCACACAGTGACTGACCTCTTCAGGCTCACATTGAAAGAAAAAAACAAAAACAAACTAGGTTTCCTCTATACACAAAACCAATATCCCACCCCGGCCCCCTCAGGAGCTCTTTCTCCTGGTGTGGTGGCGACTGTGTGGTCACTCACCCTCCGCTCTGCTTCTTGAGCTTGGTGCAGAGGAGCAGGTCAGTGAACAGGAAGACGTGGCGTAGCTTGCGGGCCCCCTCCACCAGCTCTACCATGAAGCTGTCTTTCAGCAGCTGTCGGTGCTGTGGGGCAGGGTAGGGGCTCCAGTTAGGGCAGCAGGCTACCCAAGGGGGTGGGTGGGCAAACTCATTCCCTCCACCTCCAACCCTCAGATCCAATTTCCAGAGTGTTCCCCTCTGTTTCATTGGCCTGTGAACATACATGCCACGTGATTTCATCTTTGCTCAAGTTTCTGATCCCCTCCTGATTGTTCAGCCAGTGAAAGAGGGCAGGTGGACGCGGGAAAGGCCACTGGGCGAGCGGCCACCAGGGAGGGTGTGTTACAGCCAAGTCAACAGTCTGCTGTGGAATGACGGCAGGAGAGCCCCTCCTATCAGGACGGCCTATACCTCTCTGAGATAGCAAGTGGAGACCCAGAACGGGCAAAAGACCAGCCGTGTGAAGGAGGGGACATTCCCACAGAGCGGCCATCATGGTGCAGGCCTGCGGTAAGAGCTTGGCACTTGGGTACGGATGGGGCAGCCTGGTGAGCGGGGAGCAGGTGGGCTCAGTGTACTCTGAGAGGGGGCAGCCTTGGTGGTCACCCTAAGGGCCAGGTCCGGTTCTGAGGGCAGCAGGAAACTGGGTGGGGGGCCCACATTCTAGTCCACCAGAAGTCAATGCCCACATAGGAGTTACACCTCTGATGCCTGCCTGGACACCTGTAGCCTGAAGTGGGCAGCTCAGGCCGACCAGCTGTCCCCAAGGAGGCCTTCCTGGACAATGATCAAGCAAGGGAACTAGAGGCACAAGCCTCCAGCAAGCCCTGTGCCTCTGCAACTCAGTACTTCACCTGAAAGACAAGGGGTAGTCCCACCGGCCGACACAGCCCCGGGGTTGCTGAACAGGCACATGAAAGCAAGTTAGTAATTCACTCAACAAATAGTGCTTGGCACCTCATCCAGGTGAGTGCTGTGCCAGGCTGAGGACAGGGACAGGAGGAGAGGCTGGCATGGCCGGCCCTCCCCGTGCGTGTTCCGGGTGTGCCTGATCATCGGATGTGATCCCTACCACCGCACCCTGTGGGTAGGACCTCATGCCCATTTTACAGATGAGAAGCCTGAGCCTCAGAAAGCTCCGTCACCCATCCAGGCAGCACAGTGAGCGAGTGGCAATAGGTAGCAGTCATTGCCCTTGGGAGCCCATAAGCCCAGGGGAGAGAGATCAGGTGCTTATTGGGCACTAGGCCCACCTGCCCTCAGGGGAGAACCCCCAGAGAAGACAACTCCCGCCCCTTGTTGTGATGGCGGGGGTGGGGGCGGGGAAGGGTTGAGGTCTGCACACACACCAGCAGAGTGTGAAGACCCACAGCATCTCCCCAGCAGGAGGTGCTTGTCCCCATCCCCCC